TGGTATTGCTGTACTTCTTTCGTGGATGCTGCTTGCAATCACACCCATAAAGTTGCAGCTCGAACGGCTTCAGAAGCTCCGCGATTTTCGATCCATCCAATTTCAGCTCCTCTTCTGACAGCATACTCTTCTCCTCATCTGTCCTTTTCTGCATCCTCTCCTCCAGAGCCCATCGATCCAGAATCTCCTTCACCTCCTTGAAAAACNCCNCCTCTTNGNCTGGAAATCAACTTCGAACGCGGCATAAGTTTCTTATGAATAAAGATAAGTAGGAAGACGTTTTTAAATCGAATTTGTATCTCCCTCACTGTCAATCAAAAGACTGCTTATGAAAGTATAACAATCTGTGACAAAAGGCTCTTTTCAAATTCGAGCCAATTTATCTCAGTTCCTGTTAAAGTTATGAAAAATATGTCAACTGATAAATTGCTTATCATAATATCATAAATATTTCAGTAGTTAACACTTTTTTGATATCTCTTATAAAAGCTGAGTTAATTCAGTTCAAACTTAACCGCGGGGAGGTCCTTCTATTGCAGGTTTTACGCTAAGCAATACCAAGAAACTGCTGAAAACAGAGACTCACGAAAGTTGATTTTTTGTCAAATCTTTGCTTTTTGTCAGTCAAGAACGGGGTGATTCCAACGCACTGCAGGATCAGCAACACTAGTGACTAAAGGTCGTCGAAACCCGAGTATCTTGCCGAACGACACATATGGATAATTTGATGTCTGGCGCAAATACGAGACTCCGCCTGTGGTGGATTGATAGGTTCGCAAACTCCGAAATTGATAATGGTTATCTCGAGGATCTGAAATTTTGAAAATTCAAATTTTGCCATAAAAATCGGAGACAAGGGCTCAAAATCAGTTGTTTTCATCAATTTTCTCTTTTTAACTATTCAAAAAACTCACCCCGTCGACGCTCATATCCATCAACACATTTTTGTAGTGCACATCGCTATGGACAAATCCAATGGCATGAACTTTTTTGAGGAGTGTGAATAGATGAAAAGCGATTCGGACTGCATTTCTAGAAGAAGCCGTTGATCTTTCAAGTACACGGGCGAAGGTTTCACCTTGGTAGGGGATAACTGAAAAACATCAAATTCGATGAATCTGCATTATGATGTGTTGATGAACTGAAATGCATTGTTCTAGTCCTTATTCAATGAAGATCCCGTAGTTCCTCTAATAGAAGCCCATGGGCTATCCTGAATTTTGAACTTTGAGATCCTGGAATCTCAGAATTCTATGAATGTGGGATTTCGGAACTTTGAACTGCAGAATGAAGGTTTCTAATTTTCCAGAACACTAACAGAAGCTCACCCTGACTATTAATATGCATTTCAGTAGCCACAACTAAACTTACCCATACAGAAATGATCAACGTTGTTGTATTCAATGATGAAGTAGTCCAGTAGATCGGTGAATCCCTTCTCGTTCTTCATTATATTCAAAATTTGTCATTCTTTGAAATGTGAGTATTTGAAAGTCTGCGTCTTGAGTAGAAGACGACAATTCGATCCTTTCGTGTCTCTGATCTCAAATATTTGGCCAAACCCACCGATGCCAAATTCGTTATCCACTATTTCGTATTGTCCGATCGATTGATTCACTTCCAGTTCCAAACGTGGTCTGAAATAATCATTTTCGGTGACACCTAATTTGAGAAAAAAACACTTACATGTCCATTTTGACAAATGGAAGCGATTCCGAACTTGACGAGACAAGGGAAGGCAAGGCAAAAGATATGTGTGGTGGAACGTAGTTCGGCGTACTGCGTGTCTGAGCGGTTTCAGCAACAAACCTGTAAAAAATCTGCAGTAATTGGTAAAAACAAGTGTGATTTCTATTAAAAAAGAGATAAAAAGAAGAAATAAATATTTCTAATACATTTTCCACTCATTTTTGAGAAAAAAAAAGATCAAAATCGATTATTTTACGTTACTCCAAGCATGAAAAAAAAAAGAAAAAGGAACATATAAATGAACGGGCCTCATGTATGCGTACCATCATGGCAATGCATGACACCAACAGTGTGCGGGCACGAGAAACGCGCAAACCTAATGCCTCCCCCCTCTCCCAGTCTGAGGGAGAACAGGTCGTGTGTGTTCATGTCTAGGGACCAATCAATACATAGAAAGTGCGCATCATTTTCTTCTTTGTTTGTCTGTCCGTTTTTTTCCGAAGAAACGCTGAATATTGTGGCTGGAATGCGGCTACAAAGGCGTTTGAAGCGCCGGAGGCGCGGCAAACTGGTTGGTGATATCAATAACGCAACAATGACAGTTGGTTTGGTTACTGTAGATTCTCAACTCTAAAAATTCCAGAGACCAAGAAATGAAATTTTTTGGAAGGCGGAAGTGAACATTGAAAAATAGAGCTCTACTGCAACACCTCCACTATCATTTCGGAGCAAAACTTATGCTTATCGGTGCTAATTTCGAAACTTTTTTGATTTTACGTGACAAAAACGAACAAAACTCGCAATTTGTTTCTGTCAAAAAATCATTGGCCTAATCCAAGACCTAAAAGTCTGATGTAAGATTTGTTATGAAAACCCGGGCCGAGACGGGCCGAGACCTGAAAATTCTGAAAACGGCCCGGCCTGTTGCAAGTGTGCTAAATTCTCTAAAACTTAGCTAAAAATTTATGATTTACTGTTTCTCTTATCCTATTTTCTGAATTTCAGGAGTAACCGGTATCATCGCCGTCGAGTTCAAGCTCATCGTCTTCACCATCGTCTGAAGATGTACCATCACAATGCACGTGGTCATTTTTCGGCTGCCATTCATTGGGCTCACCATCAAGAGCAGCACCAGCAAGGTATGAAAAAAAAAACTAATAAATGTTTTGCGGCGAACCTGACCTAGAGTACTAGTGGCGCGCCGCAGACGGCTGAGCGACGCGGTTGCTTATCTGGCTCCTGTGTTATTCTGAACACCAAACTGACCTCGAACACATTCAAGCTTTTTTTGAAAACCACTTTTTTAAAAAAAAAAACTTCTTTTTTCAGAAGGCCACTGGGGCCAACTCCATCAACAACACCTGGACTCTGCTCCAAACGTTGCTCCAGCCGCTCGTCCAATCAAGAAAGAAGTGAAGGACCACAAAAATGTTTAATTTTAATATTTTTCTACGAACTTCTCTCCTTTTACTCTTATTTTATTTTTATATGAATTAATTTATAATGCTTTTTTGTCGAAAACATGTCGAAATTCCTTTCCTATGATCTCATAAATCTCTTCAAACGGAATCTTCCTCTTCTGCATACTCTCCTCCAGAGCCCATCAATCCAGTATCTCCTCCTTCTCCTTGAAAAACACCACTTCTTTGACTTCTCTCCGTTTCCCAGTGATTTTTTCATAATACTGGCATATCAAGCAGAGAAGAGACGGATCCAGAGGCGACTTCTTGAGGAGCTTGGTGCAGTTGGAGCATCCGACACGCGGCTCATAATCCAGGTGCTCCATTAGGAAGTCGTCGCAATTGCAGGCACGTCGATTTGTGATTGAAATCTGAAAGTGATTTTTTTGAGTCATAGACTGAAAACAAAAAGGAAACGAGCAATGAACTCATAAACTTATAATTTAGTTTGGAAACAGAATCTTTCGAAAGTAATATCTTGGAAGAGCAATTTTTGAAGAATCTAGGTCGATGACTTCATTTTTTGGTAATTTTCAGTCGAAATTTAGAAATAAAGAATTACTTACCTTTTCCGCCATAATTAGATGGTTATATAGTAGATATATTCAGAAAAATCAAAGGAATACTCCTAAAATTCAGAGACAGAAAAAATCAGATACCCGTCATCAAATTGCGTATGAAATAAAAATAAATATAACTGCAAGGGTGATGGAGAGAGAGAGCGATAGTTGGGAGTGACGCAGAAGGTAGGAGAAATCGATAGACGACATTGAGAATGACATCATCGCTCTCATCGATTGTTTTCAATTCACTGAATGACTCGGTTGGTCACCAGCCGGAACACATCCTTCTCAGAGAGCTGACCCCTACACCTCGAACATAGGGTATAACGGACCAGGAAAATGTGCAATCGCTCTTGTGTTTCTCCCTCTCTCCCCTTTGCACGCGCTCGCATAGTCCGTTCTATGTGTCTTGTCCGGAGAGAAATGAGCCCGTTGTATCAGAATTCGGGTGTGATGTCAGCACAAGGCAAAGAGGGAAAAAAGCGAGAAGTGGAATCTATCTGATCGGACCAGTTATGTTCGGACAAGACGGCATGAAGTGTGTTTCTGGTTTTCAGACAGAGAAACAGAAGACGCTATTCTTATATATAATGAGAAAAAGCTTTTCATGTTTTTAAGTTCCTGACCTGAAAATGTTGTGAAATGATTCAGAGTGATAATTATAAAATATTCATATTTCCAAAAAAAAATACAAAACATGGAAGGAGCTGGAGATATCAGAAGCGGCAAGGGTAGACAAAAACAAAAAAAGGCGGGGACAAAGATTAAATATACCGTAAAACCTGTAATAAAAGAGCCTCCTAACTTTTAACTTTGAGCCAGTTTGTCTCGGTTACTGTAAGAGATATCAAAACGTTGTTGACTGATAAAATGTTTGTGATATTATGATAAGCGATTTATCAGTTGATAACTTTTTTCTATCTTTGATAGGAACCGAGATAACTGAGCTCAAACTTGACAGTGTGGGGGCCAGTCTATTACAAAAATTAAATATTCCGTGAAACCTGTAATAGAAGAGCCTCCTAACTTTCAACTTTGAGCCAGTTTATCTCGGTTACTGTAAGAGATATCAAAACGTTGTCAACTGATAAAATGTTTGTGATATTATGATAAGCAATTTATCAGTTGACAACTTTTTCCTATCTTTGATAGGAACCGAGATAATTGAGCTCAAACTTGACAATGTGAGAGCCGTTCAATTACAAAAATGAGAAGACATGAAAAAATGAAGAATTGAGGAAAACCTAATAATTCAAAAATCCTTGTGTACTCCAGTTCTCAATGCATCTTGATCCATCCCTCGTCTGCTTGCTTGTATTGAAGCTTCAAAAGTTTGGAGCAGTTGTTCGACCACATCTTCTTAGCTTCTGGAGACATCTGCTACCAGAGATCGTCTGAACATGGTGTATTGTTAATAAATTTTGAAAAGTAGTCAGGAAACCTGGAATACTATTAAGTTGGATCCCATTTTGGTTAATTTCTAGTGGAAAAAAAGAAATACTCACCTGTTTCGAATTTTCAAGCAATATTGGAACACCTAGTGGTTCAATAAGAGAATATTTAGTTAAAATCAAAGGAAGATTTCCAGAATCCATTCATTTTTAGGATTTTTCTGGAAATTTTCCGAGAGGCCGGTGGAAAATCACGTACCAGCCATCAGAATGCGTGTTGAATAAGTAACCGGAGAGAGTGATGGGGGAGAGAGAGTGTGAGTGATGGTGGAGACGCAGCAGGAGTGAGAGAGAGACAGTGGGCGGGAAAATAGAAATTTAAATGTTTTGTCTTCTGTCCTCTGTTCTACCTAACGCCATTGCGCAAATTGGTCCCGTCCCTGTGTTCTCAAACTCCTCTCACCCCGTTCATATAGTCTGACCCCCGAATATTGATTGGTTGGTATAATCCCAACGTCTCTTTTCCCTCCCCTCCCCCGTTCATCATTCGATCACGTTAGCTCCGGTCCGCTTGGTGACCCTTGTTCTGCTCTCTTCGTTTGTGGTTTCGCGGTGTCTATTGTTCGCAATTCAGGTTTTCTTTGAGAACTCATTGAAATACCAGAATTCAAAAACACCACTTGGCTCCTGTTACTGACCTAATGTTCCAAACATCTAGGATGAGCAGTCGAGCAATTCGTATTCCGTAGAATATTTGAAAACAAATCCCCCAATTAGTTTCTCAAAACTTTCGCAATTACTAGTAAGACGGCACTACTCCCTTGAAAACACTGAAAACTGACCTGAGAGCGTCAGTTCTTGCCTTGATCTAGTTTCGTTCACGCATTCACGCTTATCGATCGGCTCCGACCAGTTTTCTTGGGTGACATATGTTTCAGAACGAGGGTTCTTGAATATAGGTTTTCAAGGTGTCCTTGTGAATATTACATGTGATGGCGTGATGTCACTGCTCAAGCAGGATAGATTCAACTTGCGACACAGATTTTTTGCTGATCGGACTCGAGCATCTTCCACTAAGGTGAGTTGTTTTCACATATTTGAGAATCCAAGCTAAATTGGAGCGTTTCAGGTACTTCACCACGATAGGACATAAGAACCTGCCGACGCCTGACTCTCAACTAGATTTGTATTCGCCGAACAAGATGGTTATGAAGCTCCAGTGAAGTTGAAGTATTTGCAATGATGGATGATCACATTCCCAGAAGGCGACTTGCACCGTCATTGATATTTCCAGAAATGAAAAACTGGCTGTGAGGTGAATGGCTTTAATTTTTTTCAGTGCCAAAAACATTACATTTCAGTTACCACCACATCAAATTGCTCATTTCCAGACTGCATAAGAGCTCCAGAATTTATTTCATGGCATTTCGTTCTCGGATCGCTTTACTTTCTAAGATGCACCAGTTCAAATGCTTCAAATTAAAAAACAAACAGACTAGGCTAATGAGGTCAGCTCAACCAACGAAGAAGTACCAGAAACAGTCTCTCATAGCCAATGTTTTTTCAGATTCGGGATGTCTAAGCTAATGAATCGGCGGAGAATCAGATGGCAGGCATCCAGCTAAGACTCAAACAGCCTTCGAATCACTACAGTTGCCAAAGGAAGAATTATTAATAAGAGTTGATGCGCCTCCGTGTTGAAATGATTGACTTCTGATGCTGTCCGCAACCTGAAAACCGGCTGAAGTCGAATGACGGATTGATTGTCGTCGTTACCAACTTGGACTTCATTAAATTGCTCTTGACCACTTTAAGCAGCTCCAAAAGATCTCTAGAACGCTCTAAATGCTCCGGATTCACCTTAGAAGATTCAGGTAAGCCAGACGATTCTCCAATAAGTTTATTTCTCATTCTTTCAGAACCACTACCAAACGTCATGAAAGAGCGAGTTATTGGAAGAGATTTACAGCAAGTGGAGGACACTTTGGGAAAGCTGCCAGAGGATTCGATTTAGACGGAAAGTGGAAAAACGCGACGGGCTGAAAGCGAGAAGCATCGCGTGGCAAGAAAATCCAGTGGTGCATGGAACTTTTCAGAATATTCTAGATGCTTGGCGTTGAGCAAAAGATCCAGAAGACCCAGAGATTGTTGTTCCAGCTCCAAAAGATCAAAAATCCCTCCCTGAACTTTCAATAAATGCTAACCAGGATGGTATGATGGACTGCGATTCATCTTAGCACCCAGTCAAAAGATTGTAATGTAAGTTCACTTAATATTGTCAATTCATTTCAAAAGATACTATTTTTCAGACACAGCCTAAGAAATAAATCGTCTGGAGATTATAAGGACAACGGTTGCTCCCGGTTAAAGTGAATAGTGAGGCACCTCCAAGATTTTTGCTGCTTAGAACAACAGAAATGTTTCTGCCACAATCTCAAGTGATTCCGATGTAGTTGCTTCCTTCTGTGGTCCATTCGAGGAGAAAAAGCAACGTCGCGAAGGTTGTCGACACTTCAGGAATTCTAATTCACTCTACAAGTCAGGCTGTATATCAAGGAGGAGATGATCGAGTAGACGAGAATCGCCGTACCTGAACCAAAGCCTAGCCTTCTAAGTGAGCCTTTATCTTCATTCTAGAAGACAGCTGGTAATTTGATTGGAATGCTATTTGTTTCAAATGTGAAAAACCACTTCATGGTTTAGGTTCCTGAAAACTTCCTGAAATTTCGCAATGTGATTCACAACTATAATTATAAAAGATTCATATTTTTCAAAAATACTAACATTCGAAAACGAAAAAGAGAAATTTCAAAATTTAGGTAGTTTGCTCGATGGTAGCCAAGGCTGGTTCGGAATTGGGATCGGAGCAGATTCTGTGGACCATCTCGGTATCCCTCGCGCCAAAAACTCCATATCCAAATAGACGATCATGGGCCCTTGATGTTCGGTTTTCCTTTCCGTCCATTTTTTTACTTAAGGGAAAACGACGGTTACCTGAAAATATGATTTTTTTTAAAATTGAAAATTCGTCATGTAGGATTTTGAACTGATCAAAAATGAATCGCAAACGCTGATAGGAACTTTTACTATAAGTAAGATTGAATTTCGCAACTGTTGCTCTCGGTAATTTTTGGAAAAAATGAAGAGTCACGCTCCAGCAGGAATTCTCTGCCAGAATCCCACTAAATGCCGAAGAAGTTGCTTCCTGTTGTGGTTCATTCGAGATGAGAAAAACGTCGCCAATGTATTCAATACTTCTGAAATTCTAATTTCTCTCTACAAGAAATGATGTATGTCAAGGATGAGATGACCGAGTAGATGAGAATCGGCTCATCTGAACCGAAGGGTAGTCTTCTGAGTATTTACTTTTATTTCAGAAGACAACTGGTAATCCTATTGGACGGCTATTAGTTTTAAATGTGAAAAACTTTTTCATGTTTTAAGTTCCTGAGAACATCCTGAAATTTCGCAATGTGATTCACAAATGAAATTATAAAAAATTCATATTTTTCAACAAAAAAACTATGTTAGTCTTGACTAGTAGCCGATGATGGTGATGGGGATCCGAATCGCAAATCGTTTGCAAGATTTCTCCAAAGATCAGTTTGGTATTCTTCGCACCGAACACTCTAGCTGACGATCATGGGCCCTTGATGGTTGGTTTTTGGTTTTCGTTGAAATCCATTTTTTACTTAAGGGATGACGACGAGCTTAGCTGAAATTGTGTGATATTTCAATTGAAAATCCGTCAAGTAGGATTTAGAAATGATTAAAATTGAAAGAAAATCGGATAATAGGAAGTTTTTAAATAAGGAAGATTGAATTTCGCAAGTTTCTAATTTTCTAATTTTTAGTCGAAATTGAAAACAAAATACTCACCTTATTCGAGCTTTTCGCAACAGTTCGTGGAATGAATAATGGTTAAATTATATAATATTCAGAAAAAATAAATGGAAGATTTCCAGATTCCTTTCATTTTAGGATTCCTTAGAAATCTTCCGAGAGGCCGGTGGAAAATCACGTACCAGCCATTATAAACACAGTGTGCATGGAATTAGAAGCCGGCAAGGGTGGTGGAGAGAGAGAGAGAGAGAGAGAGAGTGTGTGTGTGTGTGTGTGTGTGATGGCGGAGACGCAGCCAGATGGAAAATCGATACTGCCTTGTTTTCTGTCACCCTGTGGTTCATCCAAACGCGCGCGAGCAAGATGGCCCCTCCCACGTATCACTCCCAAACTCCCCTCCCCCCCGTTCGCCATTCAATCTGACCCCAGAGTGTTTTGGTGTGTCTCTCGTCGACAGACTATCGCCCCCCCCCCCCCATGTCTTCTCCCCCTCTCGTTAATCATTCGATCTCGTTAGCTCCGGTCTGTCTGGTTGCCTCCTTTTTCTGCTCTCTTCGTTTTTTTCACAATTCAGGTTTTCTTTGAGAGCATCGAAGTACCAAAATTCGAAAACACCGTTTCGCTCCTGTTACTGACCTAATGTTACAAACATCTTGGATGAGCAGTCGAGCATTTCGTATTCCGAGAAAATAGAAAATAGAAAATTCCCCCCCCCCCCCAATTAGCTCTCAAAATCGTTTTCCAATAAACACTCTTTTACTTGAAAAACCCCCGAAAGTTGATCTAAGAGAGTCATTTCTCGCATTGATCTAGTTTTGTACACGAACTTGGCTCCGGCCAGTTTTTCTGTGTGCATTTCAGAACGAGGGTTCTTGAATCAAAGATGAATCAAGATCAAAGGTGTTCTTGTGAAAATCATATGTGATGGCGTGATGTCAGTGCTAACAGAGCTTTGTTGCTGATCGGACAAGAACATCCAATACTAAGGTACGTTTTTTGAGATATTTGAGAACTGTGATTTGGCTTTAAAGATCTTGAAATTGGATGGAATTGACTAAAAATTCCCCAAAATCGGCTAATTAGGCCCTAATTGGTCTAAACGGGGCTTAAAATATCTTTTAAAATGTTTAAAATAATACATATTGGGTTTAAAATGTCTCAAAATAAGCGGAAAATCCCCTAAAATCAAAAAAATCCACATTTTCAGATTTATGCTGAACAATGGAAAAGACAAGAAGGCGTGGTTTAAGATTCCCGAAGACCTGATCCGTCGTAACGCCGACATGACGGCATTTCCAAATTGTGTACCGAGTTTAATCGAAAAAATAAGAGAATCGTCGGATACGACACGAGTAGGTGAAGCAAAGCTGATGACGTTGCTCTCGAAGCTCAGAGCCATGGATTTGCCGAGATTGAAAGTAAGCTCCGCCTCTTTTTGAAAAATTTGAAAAAAAAACGGGAAAATCGACCCAAATTGAGCTTGAAAGGGCGTTTTCCAGCCAAGCTCCGCCTCTTTTTTACTGGAAAAATTAAGAAAAATCGCAGAAAATCGGAGAAAATTGAGCAGAAATATGTGATTTTGGAGTGTCAAGCTAAGCCCCGCCCACTTTTTTACCTAAAAAATTCAGAAATCGAAAAAATCGGTGCAATTTGAGCCACATTGAAGAAAGTCTAGCAGAGCCCGGCCCCGTTTAAGGCTATTAAAGAGGTTTTCAGACTGTTCTAAACCGATTCCAATCGATTTTTAGTCAAAAAAGCCTAAAATCCGCTCCAAACGGCCTAAAATTGCCTCACATGGCCGAAAAATAGTTTAAAAGAGCCTGATTGCTCATCTTTAACGTTCTAACTACAGTAGTCCTAGCTAGAGACTTAAAAGTTGGCTATTAGTTTTTTTTGGAAAACGTTTCGGTGAGTATTTTATTTTTCAAATTTTGATACTCAACATATAGTCGTGATAAATTCAATCAGTGAAGATTGTTCTGAACTCCAGCAAACCAGATATTGTGAAATGTGAAAAATGTGAGAACGATGAAAATTCGATAAATTTAGAACAGCAGAAATTCACAGATTTCAGAGCTCTCGCGGATTTTCGTCCTGTATTTTTGAAAAAATATTTTTCGAAAAGTCGGTTTCATAAACAAAAAATTCAAAATTGAGCAGCTAAAATCTCATTTTTAAAGCCTTCTAATCGTTATGTGAAACTTTTTCTTGCAGAAATTATGAATCAAGCACCGCGGTGACAGTGAACAAAACAGGGAATTGCAGTTGGGAAGAATTAGTGACGACGAACATAAACTTCTAGAAGATCGGGAGAAAGCGAACCAACGGGAAGGGCCGCGGAAGACATTTACTGATGAGGAATCTCCTGGACGACTTCCGAAACCAGTTCTACCGATAGCCAAGCATCCGTTGGGCCGAGGAGATGTGGAGTTTGGAGACGAAATTGTTCCAGTGCTGGATTTTTCGCAGGTGAGTGTTTTTGGTTTTCATAAACGATTTGTATCAGAAGGGTTGTGATATCATGACAAGGCTGAGAACTTATTTTAAACAGCGAGAAACAGAATTTTCTGAAATTTCTAGCTACCGTATTTCCTCTAATAGAAGCCCACTTCTATTTAAAGCCAACCTCTGATAGAAGCCCATAGGCTTTTATTAGAGAAAACATGATAATACAAAGTTCTAGAATTTTTGAAACTGTGATTTTAGAACTTGACAATTTCTCGATTTCTGAATTGCTAAATTTCAGAATTCCTGTGCTTTGAATTTTTAGATTCTGGAATCTCAAAATTTCATGAATTCGAAATTTTGGAATTTATAATTTACTTCGAATTTTCCATTAACACTGAATTTCGGAATCCTTAACTGAAAAATTGCCAAATTTCTGATTTTTTTAATAAAAAAAACTTTTGGAAAAGAAAATCATTGAAAAAATAGAAGCCCATGGGCTTCTATTAGAGGAAATACGGTATTTACCTTTGTCAATTCCTTAGAGACACCCATACTTGTAAAATTCCGGGCCGGCCCGCCAAAGCTCGGGCCGGGCCTAAGGAGAAAATTTCAAGGCCTTCACTTCCAAAACTGCAATTTTCAAGATTTGAGAGTTTTTTCCCAAAAAAAGGCTTTTTTTTTGTTTTGAAGCTTTAAATTATGTTTTTACTTCAATCAATTATTTTAGCGTATCACCGTTAAACTATGGCCAGCAACGGAAATGTCGAAAAGGAATTGAATGGAGTCGAGTCAGAAAATGGTGAGAACAATACAACTATTTGAAAAAATAGGGAAAAAAAGAATAGTTTTCTGGAGACCGTTTTTTTGTCGGAAATTCAGAAATTCGGTAATTTCGGAAAATTAGAAATTCAGGAATTTCGAAAATTCAGATATTCAGAATTTTTGAAAATTCAGAGTTGTCGGAAATTCTGAAAGTTGGAAATTCTTAATTTCGGAAATTCAGAAATTTAGGAATTCAGAAATTCAGAAACTCAGAAATTCAGAAACTCAGAAATTCAGAAAAAAACGGAATAGTCAAAATTGGATTCAAAATTCAATTTTTTCAGACAAACCGCTCTCACGGTTCTGCGAAATCGAAACGTTGCTGATTCTTCTCAGGATGGATGTTTTGTTAATACTGCTTATTTTTTCAAGTTGCTTTCTACATAAAACTGTAATTTTTCGTTTTCGTTTTTTGAAAAAACGCCAAAAAATTTCAGGGGTGCGGGGAGTCTTATTGAACTTGTGTGACTGTGTGAATCCCTTATTCTCTAGACTCCAGTTAGTAATGAAAATTTCAGACACTAATATTCAGCTTTTGAAACCCGGGGTTTTGGAGTTCATATAGTATAATTGCTTGAATTTTTGAAACGTTCTGAGATTCTGAGTGTCTGGGATCGAATAGCCACCACAATTCCTTATTTCTTCTCATTTTTTTTAAAGCAGCTATCGTGGTTTATTCCAGTCGCACAGTACACACACCCACACTCACACTCACACCGTCACACTCACACGCTCATGAGAGAATCAGTGTGTGTTTCGTGTAGGGCGGGCAGATGTTCTTCTCTGCCCAGTCTCTCGTTTTCACACATGTCTCGATTCCTTACACACTCTGTGTATGTGATCTCTCTCTTTCAAGTGTCCGGCGTTCCGGACAGCCTCATTCCATTTCTTACCCTCCTATGAACCCTTGACAGAATAGGGTTCTATTCAAGAGCTTTCCAGGTCACCTTCTGAATGGAGATTGGAAAGTTTCTTTTTTGATTATTCTGATTATTTCTTTTTTAAAAAAATTCAAATATTTTGTATTTGGGTAAGTACAAAGAACCGCTGCTAGTCGATATTTTTTTTTTAATTCAGACTCATGTGCCTTCCAGCCGCCTGGAACTTCAGAATTGGACCAAAACGAGGAGTGTCGTATACAAGCTCGCGTTCAAGAAGCAGATCCTTTGAAGGGATGAGGTTTAGAAGGTCCAGAAGCTGACGCTCTCCCAGCTCTTCCAAAATCACGACGAGTCCGAAGTCGTCTACCAAGTCGTCCAGTCGCTCCATGGGATCCTAATGCAGCTATTGTACCGCACACAAAGGAGGATTCCAAGAAGTACTATGAGGCTCGTCGTGCTTTCCAGAAGACCATGATGGTTGCAGCTCCACCGAGGAGTATCGTCAACGTCTCCAAGAGGCCAAGGATCATCGTGCACATACTCTAGTCGCTGGTGATAAAAAGCTCCGTAAGTTGAGACTTTTCATTTACCTGAATCATTCTATTTTTCCAGCATTCATCGAGTGTCTCTATGACGCTGGGGGTGGTGCTATTCCTCAAAACGTCAACCAACCTCTAAAAGCTCATCAGCTTTATATGGACTTCGAGATGTTTGATGACAATGCTCCAACTAGAGCGCGAATCGGTGAGTTTATATTTCAACAAGCTTTCAGCTCAATTATCTCGGTTAATTTTAAAGATATCAAAAAAAAATGTTAACTGATGAATTAATTATCATATTATCATCTATATTTTATCAGTTGACAGATTCTTGATAACTCTTACATGAACCGAGATAATTGAGCTTAGAGTTCCCGGATAGGGGTTTAATTAGCCCCTTTTGGCCCGTTTTTTTCACTGTAAACATGAAAAAAACAGATGCCCCTTTTATTTTTCATATAACCCTCTTCACTTCCAGAGCCAACAACATACGCTGAAGTCACGAGCAAATGGACGTCGTCGATTCGATTTGTTCCGAAGATGTGTGTGCAACAATGGAGAGGACCTACAATTTTTCCGTTTTTTTTCAAAGTTTATCGAAAATTTTTATGTATTTTTTTAAACTTTATATAAATTTTGTTGATTTTCATTTCTTCATCTATGGATCTTCAATGTTTCCGTTTCGGTAATGAATTTTTCAGGGGTTTAATCTGTAAGAATTAGTTTCCCTTCCATGTACTGAGCATCCTAGGTCAGGAAGTCTTAGGCCGCCATTTTGCTTTCTAGGCCATCTTTTGAATTCCGAGGCCCAGAATCAGAACATTCAGTCCCCGAATTGAACTTTGAAGGCGTGATTCAAATACCTAGGTCACCATTTTGTTTTCTAGGCAACTGTTAGAATTCCTAGGCCACAAATTGAATTCCTCGGCAAAAATTTGAGTTTCTAGGTCAAAATATTGTAATTTTGATCTTTTTTTATTGTTTTCTAGGCTACGGATCAGTTGTTTAGAAATCTCTTTTGTTCGTTCAGATTGGTATTCTGATAATTATTCGCGTGGCAGCTTGTGGCGAGAAGCAGACTTCATATAGTATAATTGTTCAAATTTTCGAAACGTTCTGAGATTCTGAGTGTCTAGGATCGTATAGCCACCGCAATTCCTTATTTATTCTCATTTTTTCTTGAAGCAGCTATCGTGGTTCATTCCACTCGCACAGTACACACACTCACACTCACACTCACACCCTCACACTTACACGCTCATTAGATGATCGTACATACGTTTTGTGTAAAGCGTGCAGATATTCTTCTCTGCCCAACCTCCTGTTTTTACTTATATCTCGATTCCTTACACACCCTGTGTCTATGATCTCTCGCTCTCAAGTCTCCGGCGTTCCGGTCAGCTTCATTCCATTTCTTACCCTCCTATGAACCCTTGACAGAATAGGGTTCTATTCAAGAGCTTTCCAGGTCTCCTTCTGAATGGAGATTGGAAAGTTTCTTTTTTGATTATTCTGATTATTAACCCTCTCTATTTACTCCTTGAAATATCCAATAAACCCTATAAATGCATGGGTTTTTGGAACAATTTCAATCTTTTTTCCTGAAATTCTAGTCCTACTGATGGTGTTTAGAGAATGGTAAGTTTTTTATTTCTCCGAATTGTAAACTAGAGCTAATCGGTGTATCATTTTGAATCGTCTGAACTCCAGAAAATTCAGAGTACTGTTGCACCTAAGATCTGTTGTCTGTAGTCGGGAACCTTGTTTTCCATTAACTATTGATTTTTTTTTCCAGAACTTCCAAGTCTTCCCAAAGCCAAGATGCAATCGGAATTTACACGACATCAGCTTAAGTCCAATTGGACGATCTGTGAGTTCTAATTTAGCTAGAGATCATTTTAGAATTCAAAACTTTCAGGGAAGTCTTCCAGTGGATCGCCCTCTCTTCGTGAGGACTTCGACGCCAATGAGACCAACACTATCCGTAACAGGATCAGTGGACTCCCTTCCGTCGGTAAGTTCTACTTTGGAATTGTGTTTCGAGTTGCGAGCATTACCATTCAGTAGCTCAGCTCTTATCTCGTATTTGAAAAAATAATTGATACAAATTTTCAGAGCTCGTCAAGTGATAGTGATCATTTTCTCTAGCCTCGACATTTCGACAGACGTCGCAGGGAGCCGTCGGAGTTGTCATCAGCAGTGAGTTGTGTAGGTGGAGGAGAATAAGTGACCCTTATCTGGGTTTGGGTTTTAACAAGTTTTTGAAACAGCTAAAATGATTTCTTGATCATCTATTGGTTCTCAACTTGAGCGCTTGAAAGTCTAGGCGTCGTATTCAACGCTTACCGATCGTTGGTATATTTAAAATGGGGCACAACAATTTTCAACTGTTTCAATTTTGAAGTGAATTCGGAAAGTTTTGTAGCTTCCCGGCTAGTTTGTAGCTTCCCGGCTCCCGGCTTCCCGGCTTTGTAGCTTCCCGGCTCCCTTTTGGAACTTTTTGAAGTTGGATTCCGATCGTAAAGCCATTTTTTGCCGTTCGTCCGTCAATGACCCTCCCAACATCCGTTTATATTAATTGTTTCAGAGTTCGGCACAATCAATTCCGAAACGGCCAAGGACTCATTTGTCGGTGACACAGGTAAGTATACCATGAGATATGGAACATGGATGAGCGAAATTGACTGAAATTGTTCAAAAATCAACAAAAACACATAATAAGGCGCATGAATTAAAAAAAAAAAAAGGTTTCTGTTGTTTTACTTTTTATGCAGCACGAATTTAACTGAGTTATCATCGTGAACCGAATTTGAGAAAGACAAAAGTTACCGAAAAATTTAGTCAGAATCTATCACTTTCCAGGTACTATACCCAGCAGCAGCTCTCGGAGCACCGCTGATGTCTCCAGCGATGCCAACGGCAACTTTTGTCAACTGTGGAGATAGTCAGGCTTCGCAAAGTGGAGCACAGGTAAGAGTATCAATTTTGCTAGATTAGTTGAATTTGAAGTCCTATTGAATTACCTGCAAGCTGGTGCGGCTAAGCGCGATTCAATCTAATTGTTTCTAAAAGGTCACGTTAATCTTTATTATTTTTTCTAGCTTTTCAAAAGCGGACAGCCTGACACTAGGACCAACAGACGCGTGTAGCGTTTTATATATAAGGAAGATTGTTTCGACCGTGTAGCTGACGGCTTTGATATTTTACTCGGGCGTCGATTCTCAAAAAATCGAGAAAATGATGAGCTTTTCAGCTAAAAATATGTGCTAGAACTGGAGCTTCGTGCATGTCAAAGTGCGGACAAGGATGCTCCGATCCAGCAAACCAGTGGTGATCCTCTTCCTTTCGTGTAGCGGTCCTGATGCTCCCCGATCCCTTTTCTGGTTCCCAAATTGTTATATTATTTGTTAAATTTTTTCTCTTACTGCATTTCAATTATCTACCATTTCTCATTTCCCTTCGATATTTTCCAATTTTTTCCTGTTTCTCAAACATTTTATGTTTTCTCCAGCTAGTTCAATTGTCAATAAGTAACTCAAGCTTATATGAAATAGACCGAGTATGATTTCTCAATTTGCCTACAGTACCCCAGTACCATTTTTTGTCCCGATTTGCCTACTTCTGAACCTCCATGATTCTAAAGTTTACGTTTTTGAGTAGTGATGCTTTCCGGTCCCTGAAAAAAATAACGTTCTCGAAATTCCGTTTAAATGTGCCCCTCGAGGAGTTGAGCTTGTCGAGACTAGTATTGACGGTGCGGCGCCGCTACCGACTGAGCCGCGCGGACAAAGAGGCAGCCGGCGCCCGATTGCTTTCATAAAGGTGAGGACGACCGCTGTACGCAGAGTGACATTAAGCGTTGTACACCGTGACGGTAGAATGCATACTCTATCTACAAAAAAACTACGAAAAATCTCCTGTCCCCCCCACCTTTAATAAAATCCAAATTTTCTGCAAAAACTAATAGAACCTTCATGAAACTGAATAATTTTTTTTTAGAGCTAGAAGTAGGGGGACCTTTTAATACATGTGCTACAGTGCATTAAAGATAGCTATTAATTCAAGTTTCAATTTCATTTTCGCGCATTTTGGATTAAAAATTCCAAAACTTCAGGGGCAGAAGATCAAAAAGGAGGATTGGAGAGAAATGGAGATGTCGATCTATGAGAGCGGCGGCGATGAGACGTCGTTTAGAGAAGTGGCAGAGGAGAAGGACATCTGCCAAGAAATGGTAAGTTTGGGATGATTTGACTTTTATGATTGCTAAAGACTTCTCAATATCTAACAAGGACACTTTCACCTTGTTGCATGGGTCTGGAATATTGAAAAAAATTTAACAAAATTAGAGCTTTTTTGGTGTTGCCATTTTTAAAACTCTGATGAAATATCATAAGCCTTGTCGGTGACCCAAAAAGTTTCACATACATTTTTGAGACCCAAAATTAATGATTTTCTGTCTGAAAATAGATAATCACTACTTTTAAGCACACCCTACTTACTTTTCGATCACCAAAAATTTCAAATTTTCAGGCTCAAGCAGCTTTCGAAGAAATCCTCCACAACAAGAGACAGGGGGAATCCCAGGTAAGATTTTCGCTCATTTTAGCTGTTCAATAGCAGTTGAATATTTCAGTATCGTTTTCAACTAGACAGATCCCTCGAGGCCTGTCCATCAGATGCCCTGCCGATCGTCTTCATTCCACGCAAGTACGTATTTTTTGTTAAAAATCTACCGTAAAACCTGTAAAAGAAAAGCCCCCACACTGTCAATTTTGAGCTCAATTATCTCAATTCCTATGAAAAATTTCAAAAATGTGGTAACTGACAAAATGTTTCTGATGTTATGATTAACAATTTATCAGTTGACAACTTTTTTGTATCTGTAATAAGAATCGAGATATACAACTTTCAGAGCAGAGCTGGTACTAAAATACCAGGATCTTGATGACAATTTTCTGAAGAGACTGGAAAAAGGAGTCGAGCAAACGAATTTTGATTATGGAAACCAAACTGTGGAGTCAAAGTTGATGATCACCCAATTGGAGATCGTTGCCAAGAAATATGAAGCTTTGAAAAAAGAAGTTGAGGATGAAAAGAAGAACCAAGCCCAGCCAGTGAACAAGGATAATGAAAAGTTGGTGTTCGTTCTAGAAAAGCTGGTCCACCAATTGGAAACTTCGAATCAAAGCTTGAAAAACGTCATCGATTCTTGCTACGAAACGATTTGCTCGAACACGTTCGAAGTGTCAAGACTCGGAGAAGTTCAAAGAGAACAAGCCGGAGAACTCGCCAAACTGCAGAAAACGATCGAAGGATATGAGTTTGATGCCACCGTTTCATGAAAGCAATGACTCTCTAAAAGAGTGAGTTGGAACCCTTTTTTTTGCACTCTTCGCTTGAAAAAGAGTTTTAAAATTCAATGTTTTTCAGACAGGCCGCTCTCAAGGTTCTCATTGCAATGTCGAGATGATGTTGATTCACTTCCGGATGGTGTTTATGTGTATTCTGCTAATTTTTGTGAAAGTTACTTTCGACATAAAATTGTGATTTTTTCTTCTTGAAAACATGCCAAAAAAATTCATGATTGAGTGGAATTGGAATATGGCCTGAAAGAGGAGAGAGAGAAAGAGAGAGAGAGAGAAAGAGAAAGAGAGAGAGAGAGAGAGAAATTAGTTTTTTTGGCCATTTTGAAGTGGTGGCCGAACTTTTGCAAATTTGGTGTTCTAAGCCACCACTTCAATATGATCTAAAAATACCCTAACATGACACTGATATGGTTTCTAAACCATTTTGAATGGTGGCCTAACTTTTGCAAATTTGGTTTTCTAGGCCACCACTTCAAAATGATCTAAAAATGCCCTTATATGACCCTGGTATGGTTTCTAAGCCGATTTGAAGTGGTGGCCTAATTTTTGCAAATTTGGTTTTCTAGGCCACCACTTCAAAATGGCCTAAAAATGCCCTTATATGACCCTGGTATGGTTTCTAAGCCGATTTGAAGTGGTGGCCTAATTTTTGCAAATTTGGTTTTCTAGGCCACCACTTCAAAATGGCCTAAAAATGCCCTTATATGACCCTGGTATGTTTTCTAAGCCGATTTGAAGTGGTGGCCTAATTTTTGCAATTTTGGTTTTCTAGGCCACCACTTCAAAATGGCCTAAAAAGGCCCTAACTTGACCCTGGAGTGGCTTCTATGCCATTTTGAAGTGGTGGCTCAACTTACGCAAATTCGAGAAAATTTTGTTGAAAATTTTTCGAAAAAGGCATTTCTCGAGAGATTTTTTCAAAAAGACGCACTGCTTCTGCCCACATTTCTACTATTCGATCTTCCACTCGCACAGTACTCACACTCACACTCAAACTTGCCCCTCACACTCACACTTGTACGCTCATCAGAGGTCCGTTTTGTATAGAACGTGCAGATGTTCTTCTCTGCCGATCTCTTGTTTTCACTTATATCTCAATCCACACACGATGTGTCTCTTTTCTCTAGCTCTCAGTGTCCGAGTCTTCGGCATTGCGGACAACTTTATTTCTCTTTGCATGAACCCTTGACAGAATAGGGTTCTATTCAAGAGCTTTCCAGGTCTCCTTCTGAATGGAGATAGGAAAGTTTTTTTTTTGATTATTCTGATTATCAACCCTCTCTATTTACTCCTTGAAATATCCAATAAACCCTATAAATGCACGGGTTTTTGGAACGATTTCAATCTATTCTTCTGAAATTCTATATTGCTATGAATTGTTTTTGAGATGGTAAGTGTTTTATTTCTACGAATTGTAAACTAGAGCTAATCGTTGTGTCATTTCGAATCGTCTGAACTCCAAAAAATTCAGAGTACCTAGGAAATTTAGAATTCTATGAATTATGAGATGTGAATTCTAGACAGAAAAAAATGTATATTAATTATGCTAACAAGGGATTTGAATAAAAAATGACTCAAGGGATTTTTTTCCGTTGAAAATCTACCGTAGAACCTGTGAAAATAGACCGCCACACTGTCAATTTTGAGCCAATTTTCCTCGGTTCTTATGAGATATTTAGAAAATTCGTCCCTGATAAAATGTTTCTGATATCATGATTAACAATTTATCAGTTGACGACGTGTTTTATATCTTTGACATGCCAATTATCTCAATCACTATACTTTCATATACTTTCAAGCATGCTGAATACGATTTCAGCAATATCTCGGTCACGATCCTAAGCGGAACCAAAATATGGGCTCTCAAAGTGTTTTCAGTACTGATTTTTTGAAATTTTTTTTTGAAAGTGCAAAAAAAGATTTCAAACATTCAGAAATGATAGAAACATCATTTTCACAAAATGTGGCAGCTCGATTTTGTCTGTGAGCCGTGATAATTCCCAAAATCTGATAACTGCAAGAATTTAGAATAGTCATAATTACTCAAATATTGCTTTAAATCAACTTAAACGTACAGAAATAGATTAAAATCATTTTTGCGATCGATTTAGCAATGCTCCACTCAAAAAAGAACTTTAGAAAAGTCAAAATATATTATGTGTTTAGATGGAAAAATCAGCGAATTGGAGAGTACTGTAAAAGCTCAGAAAGGTTCATCTAGCAACTGACTGAATCGGTCAATAAGATAAACAAAAACCTGTTTTGCAATTGTTTTTCTGACCTTTTTGACCAATTTAAGGGATCTGGAGCGCGACTGTCAGGTTTCCAGTCACTTTGAAAATTTTGGAGGCTGTAAAATAGGCCTAGATTAAAAAGTTTGCATTCACAGTATTTTTTGAAAGATCTTAGTTTTCCAGCTATTTGCCGATTTCTGAAAGACACATTTTTTCACGTTTTCAGTACAAACCCGGCCTAACATAAGTACAAAATTACAAAAATAGTACAAAAATGACCAGAAATCGGCAAATTGCTGAAAA